GTACCAAGTTAATTTAACAATGCCTACAAACTGGATTCACACATTGCACTAAGCCAAGAAAACATTAAAGTTTTGCAAAATATGAACATATGATAGCTTATCCAATAAATTATGATTGAAACAAAGTACGCTTTAGTTCATCTGAAGGATCTGATGAAAGAATATACATACAGATGAGGCCCTGGGGATCAGAAGAAGGATCATATGTGGAGATAGGACCCAGGTGCAGGTGTGATGAACATGAGAGTGAGGAAGATGAATTCTGAGAGAAACATTTACTCTTAAACAATTAAACAACTTTTATTTCTTTCTGCTTACTAGGGGATTTGCAATACAAGCTTGCTAACAGTTGACATACTTGATAGCATTGTGAGGGGGGGGCTGCAGTGGGAAGAAGGGGGCTGCAGGCGCAATGAAGCGAGACAGACTCGCCTGTCAGAAACCACTTAGCCAGGATGTTGGGTGCATGAATAGCTCACTTACAAGAAAGCCTAGAACCACTTAGCTAGAACAGGAAACTAGAAACTTTGCAAGTTACCCATGACCTGAGGTGGGCAACAGGTGGCATGATATTTAGTTATTTTGCATACCAAGCGGACCGGAGGAAAGGGAGGGGGAAGCATTTTACACACATGTGTGCACATGCGCACAGGGCCGCAAGCACACGTGTGCAACAAATGGGGTGGGGCTAGTGCCCGCGTGATACTAACCCTGCCCCGTTCTTGCGTGATGCAGCACCTCATTTCCGCACCCTGTGGTGTGGCGGCAGCCATATTTGCACCTTGCAGCATGGTGGCGGCCTGTTTTTACGCCTAGCAGTGAGGCGGCCTGTTTTGTGCCCCGCGGCATGGCAGTGCCACGTTTTTGCACCCGTGGTGTGGCAACAGCCCATTTTTGTGCCGAGGCACAGCGGCAGCACCCATTTTTGCACCCATGGCATGGCGTCCATTTTTACGTGGCGTGGTGGCCCGTTTTTGTGCCCCATGGCACAGCGGCATCCCATTTTTGCAACGCAGTAGCATCTGTTTTTGTGCCTTGCAGTGTTGCAGCAGCACATTTTTGTGCCCTGTGGCATGGCGGTGTCCCATTTCCACGCCCCACGGTGCAGTGTCCCATTTTCACACCCCGCTGCCACGGCACTAGCACAAATGAGGGACTGTGTGCGCACATGCGCATGCTCTGGCCAGCCTGTCCTGTGGCCCAGTGGCCAGGACCCCTGCTTTAGGGGGCTGCAATCCAGGTAACCAATATTATATGTTATGCATGTATTATGGGGGGAGGGCAAAGGGGTGTATGTGATTCACCTTTGACTATAAAAACTGCTGTAAAACTGTAATCAAGGCCATGGCAGCTTTCAAAACCACGTGTGATGACCTAGGGCCCTGAACGGAGGCAAAGCAATTAGCTGGTCAGAACAATTGACTTTGTAAGCATTGCCAACGTTCACCCAACAGCCCCTACATATGCTGGCACAAGTTCAATAAAACAGTCAACGAAGTTAAACAGTTCTTTAAAGTAAAACAGATAACAAAGTATGATCTTTTCAACGCCCAGCTTGCCTGTAACCTGCAAACTGCAAAACTGAAGACAGCAAAGAGAACTCAGCAGGAAACAAACTTGATCCAAAATACAAAGAGTCCAGGTACAAGAGCTCACATCACAAGAGTTCACGTTTGTTCCCGGCAAATGCCCCACCCCACATCGTCTCCTTAAATACCTACTCCCCAGATGTGCCTTGTGGAATGGGGCGTGATGCTCTCCTCCAGAGCAAGTGAGCCTGCCTCCGTTGCTCCCTCCTTCTCTCTGCTCTCCTTGCTCTGGGATCTGGTGGGGAGGGGCCTTGCTCCTCGCCTGAGCTCTGCCTTCCCTGTTCCAAACTTGAAGGGCCCTGGCCTGCTTCAGCCTGCTCCTCCCCACAGTCCTCCGAAGCCATAGACACCCCCTCCTGGGCCTCAACAGGGAACTCCATGTCATCCTCAGAGTCAGGCTCAGGCTCGGAGGGAGGCATGACACCAAGGCCCTTATATGGTACCAAAATAAAAGTATTTTTGTTTCACACCTTGTGTTTGGTGGTCAATTGGCTTTGACATCCCCCGGTTTTGGGGACAACACATCTAGACCAGCAGTGTCCAATCTCGGCAACTTTAAGACTTTGGATTTCATCTCTCAGAATTCCCCATCCAGGTTTGCATAAACTAAGCCAACAAATCAGAATAACTAACTTCATACATGGAAGACATAGAAAGGCTAATCACATTTTAGTTTAATGAACTATATTAATCAGTCTAATATCATTCACTTTGGTTTTCTGTAATGTATGCAAAGTTCATAAACTATGGTTAGAAAACATAGCTTATGTGATGTATAAACTAGGCCACTATGTTTCTGCCTCTGTATGTTGTCCCTTGGCATTAAGGGTTTATTTTTTTCAATTTTCTCTCCAAAAACGTCTGGGAGGATGCTGTTGCTCAAAACACAAAGGAGATCATGTGGCATCTGATTTACCCATTAAATCCTGTGGAATAGGCAGGGCGCTCAAAAATATGCAGCATTGCCTGGAAAAGTTCTGCTGAAGGACTAGCAGGAAACCTTTCAAAAAGCGCTGAATAATTCCAACAGAATAATTCCAATTCTTACAGATCTTATTGTCTACCTTATACTTTTGAATTAGCTGCATAGTCTGTAAAATATTTGCTTATCTATGTTTTATTTTGTTTGTTTATAACCACTTCACACAAAAAAAATTCCGACTGTGAATAACACGTGGCAAATTACTCTTCGTAGACCCCCAAACACTGCAGAAAAAAAACAAAAAAACAAAACCCTTTTCAAGCCACGCTGGCAACCGGGAAGCAAACCGCTTTTGCTTCTTGGCTCGCGGTATAAAGCGCGAACAAGTGGGAAAGTATTCCTTAGATCCCGCAATTACGAACTCGAAATCGCCGTACCATTTTCTCAAGAGAGCCTTTCCCGTCCTCAAAGGGCTTCGGGAATTGTAGTCCTACCTAGAGAAAAGTAGAGGCGGCAGGTTAATTTTTTAAAAAGCCTTAGTGCGCTTGCGCGGACGAACTGGGCTTTGGTGGCGGTTACCAGTGCGTGGCAGGAACCGGAAGGAAGCCGGAGGGTGGGGCTTCCATTCAACTGACGTGTCTTTCTGAGGGGAGAACTGGAGTTTCTGCTGCCGCTTGGCCCTTCCTTTTCCGCGTTGAGGGCGCCGAGATGGGGAGTGAGTATCGCTGGACGGCGATGTAGACGCTTGCGAGAGCCGATTGTGGCCCGGAGTAGCGGGCGAGGGAGGGAGGGAAGGAGCCGGCCGTTCTTCGAGATAGCCTCGAGGAGGAGGAACGGAGAAGCTGCTAAGGGGGGAACGACCAGTTATGGGCTGGGGAAGTTGAGGGCGAAAGACGCGAAATGGCGGCTTGGAGGTGACGGGTGTCTTGTCTGGAGATGCGGGAAGACAGTGGTCTGGGGATAGTCTGTGGGGCTGTAGGATCACCACTCTGAATGGTGGTCGCCATGTTGCGCCCGCCAGGCTATCGGACTTAGGGAGGGGGGGGATTGTCAGCAGAGCTTTGGAGGGGGGCTTTTTGGTGAGACAGGTGGTGTCGGGGGCATTTCTTGATGAAATCTGAATATCCCGAGACAGCGCTAAGGGCCAGGGTTCAAAAATAGTTCAGGGGAGCTCTTAGTGGTCCGTCCATCAATAATAGGTCAAACAAGTTTCAGGGACTAGTTTCTTTATTTTGCAAAATGGGAAGTATTTGTCGGAAAAAATGCACTAGGGTTCGGATTTTAATCGGAGCCTATACGTGAGATTCTTGTAGGTCAAATCTTGAGTTTTTGAAATATTTCGTGTAATCACAAATAAAATACGCTGCTTTGTCTGGGGGGGGATGCTTTCACAACATAGAGACATGGGGTTACTCTTGTGTCTGGACCTGGTTGTAGTAGCAAACCGAACAACTTTTCTTCTGCATCTGATTGTAACTTTTTGCACATGTTGAAGCTTAAAAGGCAATTATCCACAGAAAATGACACAGTGACCATCCCGATTGACCATCTGCTACTGATGTCAGTCTTGTGCTTTGTTTCAAAAAACATAAATCACACTTCTTGAGTGCCCTCTGACAATGTTTTGAGACAAGCTAGAGTTCACCTCCCCAGTGGGTTTATTTTATTTATTTATTTTATTTATTAAATTTATATACCGCCCTATCTCCCTTGCGGGACTCAGGGCGGTGAACAGGCGATACTAAAAACCACGATAATAAATAAATAGTTTGGTTGTATTTGAGCAGGCTTAAGTTGGTGTGAATTGTTAACTTCTTGGCCCATCCTTCTCATAACAGACATCCAAATGTGTTAGACCACAGCTCGTATTAAAGATGTTGATTGGTCCTAAATATTATCTATGCGTTCTTTCTTACAATTTAAATTGGTTTAATCTGCATTTGGGTTTTTTTTCCTTACTGACTTCAAGTTATTTAGAACCAGACCCCCCCAAAAAACTTAATAGCTTGCCTCATATAGATTCATATTACCAGCAGTGCATTTGTAATTGCTTGAACGATAAGCACAAGGTGACTTGAAGGAAGTCCTGTAGTTTTAATATTTGTGGAACATCACGGGTAATGCTGAAATCAACAGCAACAGTCACGTGCTCTTACAAATTGTTCTTGTTGGGAAATTAAAGAATACAAATTAGGTACGCCATTGTTATTACAGACTCCTTGTTTTGATTGTCTTTGACTTCAGAACACAGATATAGCAGAGGTAGCTACTTAATTTGCATATGATGTCATGACCTTCCATTTATTTTTCTTCAAGTACAAAATAGGACTAAACATGTGTCTGCCCAGATCATTTTCTATATTTAATTTATTCAAGATCATAGAATTAGAGGGAAGGGACATTGGAGGTCTTCTAGTCCAATAAATAATTGCATAGAAGACTGTATAGATTAGCAATTAGTAAATTTTGAAGAAGCTGAGATTTTTCTTTTTGAGGAATCTTATCTTTGTTAATTGATGAATGTCTGCTTAATTTCTCAATTTTCTTCACAGTTAAATTTCTTGAAGTAATCAAGCCCTTCTGCGTTATCTTGCCAGAAATTCAAAAACCAGAAAGGAAGGTAATGTATGCATTATAGAATTGTAGTTTTACCAAAATATTTATAAAATATTAATAGGAAAGAAACATATTTGTCCTTTTTCCTGTTTTTTCAAAGTTATTCAATTAAACCCCTAGGCCCTTTTAGCACCTTTTTTTTAAAAGCAACACAATAGGGTTTGAATGGAAAGGCAGAAAGGAGTATCTGGCAAATGATAGCAGTGTGATTAACTGAAATACAACATGTTTATTCTTTAGCTTGAATAAAATGACGCATCATTTCCTTGGTGGCAGAATTCAAGATACATTTTTCTCATTTCCACAATCCAGACTGCCAGTCCAGCTGGCAGAATTAAATGTTGCTTTTGAAAGAGTAGAGGGACAGCAAGCTGTTTATAAATGGTTCTTTTTTTCCCAATGAATCGGGCTAGTTGGTTTTCATTTTGTCATAATATCCTGTCTGAAAGGCACCAGAGAACTGTTCTTATAGTGGTCCTTGCCTAGTAGTATAGGTGGAAAATATGCTGGTTATCACTTTTGATAACATTTACTATAGCATATAGCATTTTATTTATAGATATTAGCATTACTATGCCTCTACTTGTGATTTCTAACTGGCCAAATATAGGAATTTCTCTGGGGTTAACTAAAGGATCATTTTAATTGGAAAGCTTTGTTTTTACCGAAGTCCTGCTCGTGTTATTTTCTTGTGTGTGTGTTTTAGTAAAAGCAGCATGGAAATGTTGGAAATTTAAATATATTAAACATTCCATTTATGGTCTCCAAATTATGATAACAGATATAACCCTATATCACAGCAATTTTCATGCGGGGGGGGGGGTCCCTCGATTTTCTATTTAGCATTTTTGGAGAGTTTTCAATGAAAAGAGAGAAGAATCGAGCTTCTTAAAAGTTGTGTACAGTATTAGCTGTATTTCCCATGGAAATTTCATGCTTTGTTCTAGCCAAATGTTGGCAATGACAATTATTTTCACAATTTCATCTCTTATTATAGATCCAGTTTAAAGAAAAGGTGCTATGGACGGCTATCACTCTCTTCATCTTTTTGGTTTGCTGCCAGGTATTTTTCTTTTTATTACTTCAAGCCTTTCTTTAAAACAAAGGCTAGAGAGCCAAGCCTATGATAATTTTGCTTGCTTTTTTTTTTAAACCCAGATTCCCCTTTTTGGTATTATGTCATCGGATTCAGCTGATCCCTTTTATTGGATAAGAGTAATTCTGGCTTCCAACAGAGGTATTGAAATTCACTTTAACAATTGATTTGTTGCTAAATTTCATTTCTGTCTATCGTATACCAAACTGGGTTTCTCCTTTAAATAAGTTAAGCACTTTGCATTCCCACTGACTTCGGTAATAATCAATATCCCATTTAATCATAGTACTATGCATTATTTTTAGTTTGGATATTGTGATTGTAAAATGGGGTTTTGTAGATTGGCCATAATGATGCTGTCATTACAAATATAGAAGATAGTAGTATATTTTGGGTCATTTTAAAGCGGTTCGCATATATTATTTCACTAATTTTACCATTGGGACCGGGGCTGAGAAATTGATTGACTTAAGTATAAAAAAGGATTGGAGATTTCCATTACTTTGTGTCAGCTGAATGTTATATGAGAGCCAGTTTTGTATAATAGCTAAGTGCCAGAACAGAAACCATAAGATTATGAATTCTAGTTCTGTCTTAGGCAAAAAGCCAGCTGGGTTGACATTGGGCCAGTCATTCTTGCCCAATGCTGACTTGAAGGCATGTGTGTACATGCGCACACAGAATGCTATATATTAATAGCTAAGTGGACTGCCTGAAATTGAAGGACAGAATGAATCAGAAGCTACTGGTGTCTTAGCAGAGCTAAAAGAGCCATGGTTTCCTTTTTTCCCCCTGCCCTTAACTTGATGAACTGCTGAAAATCATCTTTTAGCTCACATAATCTGGTAAACTCTTTTCTCTGCAGGGCAATATGCTTGAAACATGCATAGAGGGACAGTTGGTAAGGCTAGTATAATACTGGTTCATCATATATTTTAACTGGGTTCTATAGGTCACTTAAAGCAAATTTCCTTTTGTGTAATATATCATCTTAAACATTTTATTTATTCTTTAAATTTGCCCCCACTTTTTATTTGTTATTAGTTGGCAATGCGAATTTCTACATGGGAACATTTCAAAATTCAAATTTCAAAAATGTTCAAAATTCTTTTGATTATTCTTACAAATTATTGATTTGCCTGGAAATATTAGCATATTTGCAGAATCTTTACAACCAGCACTTTCTGTATGTTTAAAAAGCTGTGTCAAATTATTATGCTTCAATAGGTTGGGAAATGTGTTTCTAAAGGATGAGGCTGACTCATTCTTCAAAATGAACTGTACTTTCAGCTTGCCTTGCTAAAGCAGCTTCTTTTAATTTGATAATATAACAGAATGATGTTTTTTTGCAAAATGGCGAAGAATGAAGTTCCATTGAAAATTTAAATGGTTTCCCCATCTTTATAATGTCTCAAGATGGCCAGTTATCGTTGTAGGTCTGAGCAGAAAAGGATTGGTGGATCCTATCTTTCACTCTGTTTTTGATTTCCAACAGGTACACTGATGGAGCTAGGCATTTCTCCCATTGTCACATCTGGTCTCATCATGCAGTTGCTGGCTGGTGCCAAAATAATTGAAGTTGGGGATACACCAAAAGACAGAGCTCTCTTCAATGGGGCACAGAAATGTAAGGAACAGGAAATTTAAAACAACTTGTATTCTAGTTCATGCAGATACAAACAGTGGACAATATAAATTGACCTCTCAGAAAATTTGGAATGTTAAATTGCATTCACTTTTTTGTCTTGTAATTCTTTTCCAGTATTTGGCATGATTATTACTATTGGACAATCTATTGTTTATGTAATGACTGGGATGTATGGAGACCCATCAGAGATGGGAGCAGGAATCTGTCTCCTTATCACCATTCAGGTAACTTTTAAGTTATTAAAACTCTTCTGGATGTAGACCTAGGATCTGTAGATATTTAAAATTTAAAAGATTGAAATCGGGCCCTTTTGCAAACTTGCTTAATTCAACCCTTTCTCTGCAAGAATGTTAAATGTTCTTGACAGTCACTTGGAGGCTTCCTTCTTAGGCAGGACATTTACTATGGAAAGTTCTCACTTCTGGGTATATTAATCTCACAACCAAAGAGCTGAGATTTACACATTTCACAACTGTATGCTTACCCTTTCAGTAACAACTATTGAAAAGGTAAGAGAATTAATCAACTTGGTTGAGGAACATATTTGGCACAGAAACATAGTACCCAAAAGGGCTGCCCTCATATGAATTACTAAGCGATCTCCACAGACAAGTATTTATAGAAATTGCTGTCCCTGTTTAACCGTTTCTGAACTGTTTTTAATTAGTAATTTTTAATTTAAGTGATTTATATATTATACATTTCTCCTTGTAGCTTTTTGTTGCTGGTTTGATAGTTCTTCTGTTGGATGAACTTCTGCAGAAAGGCTATGGTCTTGGCTCTGGCATTTCTCTCTTCATTGCTACTAATATCTGTGAGACTATTGTATGGAAAGCGTTCAGCCCAACTACAGTGAACACTGGCCGAGGTAATCATTCTTTGATGAGACATGTATCAATCCCTTGGAAGCAAACAGAAAAAAAAATCTAAGCTCTTCCTATTTGTCCAGCGGCATAGTATGTTGAGTATCATCTGAAAAAGAAAAAGTGCAAGTTAGTAAGTAGTGTACTGATTTGCTTGAATGTTACAGTATCTTTAAGGAAGCATGGCTACCTGAAACCCTGAATACCTCTGTGAAAATGTGTGTATTGGAAGTAGATTTCACTTGTTTGGCATTTCATGCAAGAATTGACTGACTGGGAAAGTTCATTTGGAGGTTTATTAACAGTACTAATAGTTATAGGAAACCCAGGGAGTTTCAAATGAGTGCTTGCTTTTTGTATGGAAAACCAAGCAGCAAAGCATTTTTTTCCCTGTAATTTTAATTCAAGTTTTAGAATGGCTACTTCTATGAAGGTCCTGAACAATTCATCTCATGATTTGCACTGATGATGTTTAAAGATGCTTATGGAAAGATAAGAATAAATATAGCCCAGAAAGAGGAAATACATTATAATGCACTTTTAGGTGTTATATTTATATTTGCATGTAAGGAAAGTCCATTCTGTTGAGTAAATATGGCACAGTGCTAATCATGTTGACTCCTTACTGACGACTCTGTATATTAAACTTTAGCATTAGTGGCTTTTTTCAAAGGTATTTCCCAGAACGTGCAGATGAGACTCTTTGGCAATGCATATATTGCAGACTTAAAATATCAGATTAAACTGTAGTTTGTTTTAATAGTAGTTTATTGAAAAGGTAAATGTGGCCTAGTTCACATAGAATCCTCAAACCACACTGGCTAGTTTCAGACATGGTAGTAAACCAAAATATGCACAGTATGTCTCTGCATGTTTTAATTTAAAAAAACAGGGTTTTTTCAGAAAAATAGTTATGCTGTATGCAGCAGACCCATTTTGTGTGGATCAGGAATGCTGAAAAAACACCTTCAATCAGGGAATTTATCTCCAAATAGGCTTATAGGTCTTTTTTAGTCCTTTATAGAGGGTCCCTTTATTTCTGTCTGATTGATGCTCTACCTCAGAAGATGATGGGAGGGGGAGAGTTTTTACAATAACTTTTATTAAGAACATTTTTAGATATGCCCAGATACATAAAAAAACCAGACATGTTCTGAGATGCCCCTTGTATCATATCTAGCAGCTAGTAATGATTTCCTCAATAATTATATGTTCAGCACAACATTCCATTAAGAATGTGCTTTTCCTACTAAGAGACTAGTTTAGAGAAATTTCTATCAGTGTTGCAGAATTACGTATGACTAGTTTAATGAAGAGAAGGACTAGGGGGTGACATAATAGCAGTGTTGCAATATATCAGGGGTTGCCACAAAGAAGAGGGAGTCAAGCTATTTTCCAAGGCGCCTGAAGGCAGGACAAGAAGCAGTGGGTGGAAACTAAGCAAGGAGAGAAGCAACCTAGAGCTAAGGAGAAACTTCCTGACAGTTAGAACAATTAACCAGTGGAACAACCTGCCTCCAGAAGCGGTGAATGCTCCAACACTGGAAGTTTTTAAGAAGAGACTGGGCAGCCATTTGTCTGAAATGGTATAGGGTTTTCTGCCTGAGTAGGGGTTGGACTAGAAAACCTCTAAGACCTCTTCCAACTCGTTGTTGTTGTTATTCTACTGAGAATGAATCAATAATCGTAGGAGTAATTGGAGTATATGGGATATTGTAAACTGCCAGCTTTCAAAGGCAAGGACTGTAAAGCATCAACAGCTTTTCATGCAGTAGTTAATAATTTCTTCACCTGTTCATTAAAGGCATGGAGTTTGAAGGCGCCATCATCGCCCTGTTCCATCTGCTGGCTACTCGCACAGACAAAGTTAGAGCTCTCAGGGAAGCCTTCTATCGGCAGAATCTCCCCAATCTTATGAACTTGATTTCCACCATATTTGTCTTTGCTGTTGTCATTTACTTCCAGGTGTGTAGAAGTATATATAGAATGATGATTTACAGTTTAACGTGTTTTTATATTCTGTTCAGGCCCGGAGATGTGTTTGTTTATTAAGGCCATAGAAGTTCTGATGAAGTTCTGATGAAATGCTTATTAATACATCACCAAAATATGAAGTATGAATATTTCCACAAGGTTTATTGGAGAAATGTAAAATGTATTGTAGATTAAAAGTGACACTGTGTTCATTTGAGTTGATACCAATGATTCAGAACCTTATGCATTGTTCAGTTTATCAGTACTGTTAAATTTTGTTAATTTCATTGTTTAAAAAATCATAAATTTGTAAGGTGCAAAATTTATCTTTTTAATCTCGGTATAAAGCTAATTTGAAACTCTGGATATTTCTTGCCAGCTGAAGTAAGATCATTATCACAGTTCTGGTTTCACTTGGTGACCACTTCACTTAATCAAATTGCTGGTTCCAATTGTGGTTGCTAAAGAGGGATTCCCTGTATAAGCTAATAAAGAGAAACATTATATTTTGTTGTTTGAGATTGCTTGTTAAAAATTACCCTGATTTGATTGATGCTTGGGGCAAGTACTTGTGTGAATTACATTTAATTCTTTGGATTTACATTTTAATTTATTTCCTTTTACAATCCACAGGGATTTAGAGTGGACCTCCCTATAAAATCTGCCCGCTACCGTGGCCAGTACAATACCTATCCAATCAAGTTATTCTATACCTCCAATATTCCCATTATCCTTCAGTCTGCATTGGTTTCCAACTTGTACGTAATTTCTCAGATGCTCTCTGCTCGTTTTAGTGGCAACATATTGGTTAGCCTTCTGGGTACTTGGTCTGTAAGTATCTTGTAAGTTCTTCTCTATAACTCTGAACTTAAAAGTGCTTCTAGCAAAGGCACCCCAGAAAAAAGTTTCATAGTGCCAGGCTTTTAAAAAACTTGATAAACTCTCTAGTCCTTTCTTCCAAGTAGACACATACAGAATTACACTGTATCTGATTTTTATTTACCATTTCTCTTACAAATGAGATGGCCTTTCATACTGAACCTTACTTAATATGTTGTCTTATTGCCAGTTCCTTTGTATTGTCTTCTGGTATTAGCTTTAGTATATTTTATTATGTTATGCTAACAATGCATGCCGACATCTTTGCAATGCAACAAAAGACTCATGACTATTATACATAAATATTGCTAACAGGACTAGATTGGTCGCTAGCAATTGTTTGCTACTTATTGACTCAAGAAAGCAATTTTGCTGAAAGCAATCTATTTTCACTGCAGGATACATCAACTGGAGGTCCTGCCCGTTCATATCCTGTTGGTGGCTTGTGTTATTACTTGTCGCCTCCTGAGTCTTTTACATCAGTTTTGGATGATCCTGTTCATGCAGTTGTTTATATTGTGTTTATGTTGGGTTCCTGTGCTTTCTTCTCCAAAACCTGGATTGAAGTGTCCGGCTCATCTGCAAAAGATGTAAGTAAATAGCATAAATCCCACATCTTTAGATGTATCATTCCTCTCTAACAAACATTTCTCCAGCCACGTTACTTGACAGACAGTGCTGCTGTAAGCGCTTGAAGAAAGAATTAATGGAAAGGTCAAATTCAGTCAGAACTATAGGGTACGCCTCATAGCAAATCATACTGTTGTTCTGTTAAATTTGGTATTGTTTAGTGATAGACTGTGGCCCTCCAAACACTTTCCCCTGTTCATCTGCAGAGGCCATGGATTTAATCTGGGTCTGTTGCTTGTGCCGATTCAAGCAAACCATGACTAACTTAAACATTTACTTTATGATAATCTCCCCCCCTCCTTTTTTTTAAAAAAAATCCTGAGGTGTAAAAATTATGGCTATCAGGCTTAACTTAAAGAGATCAGAGAATCATGAAGTAGCATAGACAAAATAAATTGTAATTGCGATGAGAAATCTGAAGCCCCAGATCCCCTGAAACTACAGAGGCTACTAGTTGCAGTTGCTGAAGATTTGATATGGAGGGAAGCGGGTAAAAACTAAATGTATGCTAGAAAATAGGCTTAACCTTAGTTACTTAACATCCAAATACTATCACTCCCCCATACACACACACACACTCAAAATCTTGGCTGAAATAAATTCCTGGCTATGCTCATTCTATAGCCATTAATTCTGTTTAGGACACCAGAGTCTCTTTCATGTATGAGTTTATAAATGTTTATAACTCCTTTATTTCTAGAAATTATTCTCGGGGGTTACTTGAGAAGATGGCATTATGCCTTAGTAAGTTAAATCTTTTTTTCTGCTCAGTTGCTCTATCCCTTGTAGTATTTCTGATTTTAAGGACTACTAAGATTCTTACATTTTTATAGCAACCGAGCATATTAATTCTCTTTCACGAAATGTTAAAAAAATACTTATTTTGGAATACAGGTTGCTAAACAACTGAAAGAGCAACAGATGGTTATGAGGGGTCACAGGGAAACCTCCATGGTTCATGAACTGAACAGGTGAGTTATAAATCTGTAGCATTTTTGTAATCTGTATTGCTATTTGAGCTTTCATTTGCTTCAGAGAAGCAGAACTGGAAATAAATTACGTTGGAAGATTTAACGCCCTTGTGCTCTCTCCTTGTTACTGAAAGTCTAGCCTTGGGAAATGTTCCCTGTAACATTCCTGAGAATGCTTGCTTTATATTTGGGAAGGCAAAGGAAATAACCCTCATCATTTGCTTATTTGAAAAGGGCATTTTTTTTCACTACTGATTCTTGCTTCTTAAAAGAAGCAAATAATTTCCTTCATGTATGTGACAGAAATAAAATATACACGTAGCCTGGATTGTATTTTAATTGAATACAAGAACACATATTCTGTGCGCCAGTAAGGCAAAGCTGTGTAGCTATACAGTTTGTGGGTTCTTCAGATAAGGGTGTCCCTATGCACCAGAATACATGCATGCTTTCCTCAAAATTACATTAAGTGGGACGAAGTAGGTGGATTTCTTTGAATTGCAAATATAAAATACACAGAAAGAGAGAATCTGGGAAGGTCTGACCTTATAGAAACTTGACTGGGCTCTATAGGTGATCCTTGACTTACAACCATTCATTCAGTGATCATTTGAAATTACTATGCCGCTGAACAAAGGGATCTACGGCCTGTGCTCAAAGTTATGATTGTAATGATTGCAGTTTGGACTCTTGGCAACCTTTTCACAGTTACAGCAAGTTGTCGAGCCTTCTACAATCATGTGATCACCATTTGCCATCTTCCTTGCAGCCTTTCTCAGAAAGTCAACAGATTAGCTAGCAGGGAAGGCCACTTCCTTTCTCCAGCACATCAGGCAGTTGCCCTCTCTGACGTAGAAAGTAGAAAGTCTTAACTTTCTAGCAAGGAGGGGCAGCACACTGGGCTGGAGGAAGGAAACTTGGATCATTGCAATCTGAGCTTCCTTCATCTGACTTAGCGCACAGGAATTCCCTCCTGCACATGGAGGAGAGCTGCCTGCTCTCTTGGCAAGCAGCTCTTTCGCTTTATTCATTTAACAACTTACATCCCCAACCCCCACCGGCCACACAAACAGTGGGTGAACGCACAAAGCGTGAAATTAGGTTGCATGCGTGAAATTATCCCCTCTTCTCCCCCTGCCACAGCCCCGGCTCTACAGAGCCAAAAAGGTTGGGGACCGCTGACCTACACAGTGTCAAGAATAAAACTCTTAGCAACTCCACCTGAGAGGACTGAGATAGCAGTTATTGAGCAAGGCAGTCACATGGGCACCGTGCATAATGACTGCAGTGACGTCAGAGTGTAAAGGGCAGACTCAAATACTTGAGGACTAGTTTGCCTTAAGTATTTTCCACAGTAGCTAGGCCAGTAGACAATTTCCCTTAAATCTTTTGGCCTAACTTGTATTTTGTTGTTCCTCCTTTTTCAGATACATTCCAACAGCTGCCGCTTTTGGTGGCCTCTGCATTGGTGCCCTCTCTGTGCTGGCAGACTTCCTCGGAGCAATAGGATCGGGCACAGGAATCTTGTTGGCTGTCACCATCATTTACCAATACTTTGAAATCTTTGTAAAAGAGCAGAGTGAAGTTGGCAGCATGGGAGCACTTCTCTTCTAAATGCAATACTGAGTCATGGACCTAGGGACTGGCGAAGAGTGTTTTTAAGTTTTTAAAAAATCAGGTGAAAGAGATTTAACAATTACACAAAAACACATGGGCGTACGGCATTAATAGAAACACTTCTTTTAAATGTGTGAATTTTTTTTTCTGAAGCACATTCCTTCGGTTCAGACTTTATTGGTATTTAGTTGCTGTTTTATAAATAGCTGGAAAATGTGTAAAAAAACATTTTTAGAAAAAAAAAAAGGTCTTCTGTTCTTTGTTATTGTTTGAGGCAATTCTCTAAATCGGCTTAATCTGAGAGCCTTTTCTTTAAACTGCACAATCTTGTCCCTAAGTTCCTTGAAGGTTTTCCGGGTTCATTATTTAAATGAAAAGTGGACAGTTATTTGTTGCAGTGTGATATTTGTCTCTTTCCCTGGAGCGGGGGGGGGGATTCCCTCCTCAAAAATCATCTCCCAAATTATCCATTCTTTCGGGTGTTCTTTTGATAAGCACATACATGACTTCTTCCCCTAGGATACCACACTTAGAGCACCCAGATGTCTAGTCAAGAACAGTCTGTGTTTTCAGGGCTGCCTTTTGACTGTTTCTTTACTTCTGCCTGGGATGATAATAGCCTGTGGGTAGAAATCTCAGGTCATGTTGCTCTACAAGAAGAATTAAGGTCATGTCTTGCAATGTTTGCTGTACAGAGGTAGTCAACAGTGCCACAGAAGAAACCTGCTTATAGTTTGTCTTGTATTATTTTTATCTCTTGACAAGTGTTGAATGCAGTATTTCTCTTGGAAGTTACTGTACTCCTAACAAGTTTTATTTGCCATGAGATCAAAATAAATTCTAAGCTAGGAGGTATGCTGTTAACTGTTAATCTCCTGCTTGATGAGTATATTGAAGCCAGGTACAGTAGGACCTGCATATTGTTCCAAATGCTTATTGTCTGGACTAGTGACTACAAGCCATGCAAATTCTTGTCCACCTAAGGGACTCCCTTTATCTCCAGATAGTTTCATATGTTCTTCTAAGCTGGAATGATGGTGCTTCTTTAGAGACCAGATAGCCATTGCTTGCTTTCAGGGTATCCCCTACTAAATAGGACTAGTAGCCATAAAATTTTTAAGGGTTATCAACTCCTTGTAAAATTCCTTGAAGGCTTGACATCTGTTGGAATATATCAGTGGTTGTAAGGCGATTTGTGTATTGTATAGACCAAATTAAAATGCCTGGTATAATGAGAAGCATGCGGATAGAATTATTGGTCATGTTGGCCCTTGAAAAGAGAGCCAGATTAGGGACCGGATTAGTGTCCAGTTTTCTTTCTTGGTAAATGTAGAAATTTATGCCTTTGCCAAAAACACCACGTTATATTGAAATCGGGTCAGAAGCTAGTATTGAAATTGCCAAACCTCTGGCAGTTCTGTCATTTTACCCAGCAATTTGTGCAACAGAAAATCCCAGTACCAAGAAAATGCGAACACTAATGGCATGGAAGAAGCTGAGTGTAATGCAGTAAAACTGGAAAAAGCCTAGGACCTCCTCAAGAGCAGATACAGATGGGAATTGATAGATACTGAAGAAATCTAACTGATAAGGTCTCCCAAGCCAACTTTGCTGGAATGGGTTCTTCAGTTAATAGGCTGCTATAACGTGGATATATTTTGGGCTTTTTGTATTCCAAAACAAGTGAAAAACATACGGTGCCTTGCAGTGCTGTAGCGTGATTCATGTATGTGGTCTTCTAGCAGGCAAAGCTCAAGGAAAAAGTTGTGTTCTGGATCAATTGCAAATCTGACTTTGTAAGGCTTTCTTTTTTAGTACTTCTTTTCAAATACTTATAAATCAATCTTTAACTTCATGAAATATAGGTCTTTTTAAATGTAACTCAGAAGTAAATATTAAATTTTTATTGCATTTTTATCCATCCCTTCCTATCCGTTTTATCCCATGTACTAAAGGGATAAAGGTTTCATTCAGTTTCAGAACTGGAGCAGCAAAGCATCAAATTGAAGTGATTTGAAATGTCAGATCAGAACCTTTGGATAGATTGTGTGCATTACTGAAACTATCCCACCCCCACCCATTTGAAATTTACAAATTGTGGACCACTTTTTCAAATCCAATTGCTTTGATCCAAGTCAATGACTTGATCTCCATAGCCATATTAGAGAGGTTGAATTTATTTTTTTGTTGTTGAAGCAAAATTATCTGTACTGTGCATAAAGCATTCTTCAAGGATTGCATAAAATATTGTAGTTTTTGCCTCACTTTTAAAAGATGAGTGCCAAACCAGTATTTGAATTGATGGTATTAACATACCATTAACTTTCTGCACTATACACAAATCCCAGTATTTTTATTTGCCCGGCAATAAAAAATTGACATGTCCATCACTGACCTGCTTCTATTTCAATTGAATAACATTTTAACTTCAGAATAAAATTGTTTCCTTTTGCTACTTTTTGATTCAATTGTTCTTAATAGAGATAAGCTAAGATGATCTGAGATGAATCCTTTTGTAATCTAACTTGGCTTTTTTTTTTTTGAAAGGCAAGGCTCTGATATAAGGGGGATAAGCAAGGTTTTCCTTTAATTAAATGATTGATTGATTAATCAAATATATACGATTGCCCATCTCATGAAAAGTGATACTAGGTGGCTTATAACATAAAAAATCAATGCATGTATAAACATGAAAATGTAAAAACTGTATTTAGATATATTGAAATACAGCAGTTATTTGGGATGCATTTGCTGACACACTTCCTATGGTCACTGGTTACCTGAGAAGGGCACGAATACATTCATACATATATGCCCTCACATTCTTCACTTGCCAGTTGGAAAAGACTCCAGTTAAAACTTTAGATATGAAATAGCATCTTGAATGTTGTTTCAGAGATTAATAGTCTAAGCCTCAGTGGATTATTGAAAGGTGTGCTGTAAAATGGCTTTAGTTACAAATTCATCTCCAGGCTTGGTTGCCATAAGTAAAATATCCTTAAAACTATAACATAAATTAAAATGATCATTTCTGGGTTTAAGTAGCATTTTGAATTACAGGTAGTCCTCGATTTATAAATTTAGTGACCAAAATTACAATGGACCCAGACAAAAGTTATTTACAACCCAATTTTGAACCCATTCCAGACACAATTACATTTTGGGGCTTGGCAATTGGCTCACCTTTACAGCCATTTGCAGCATCATATGACTGATTTTAGACTCTTTTTCCGGTTTCTGGTGCTTCCAATTTCCAGTAAAAAATGCCTATTGGATGTAATGGATTTGCCTAACAAGTGTGGTATCTCAGAAAAGGGTATACAGTAAACATCTGGCTTAAGAATATTTTCATGAGATTGCAACACTTAAGTATCCACTAGAGGATGCTGTTTATTGCAGATTTAAATTATTTGAATTAAAGTTACTTGTAAACCATATGCAGTATATTTTTGCACAGAAGTTACATATGGAAAAATACTAGACATAATATGCACTTGAACTTTTATCCTGTAGTTTTAAAAACACATTTGGAATAGTCGCCACAAAAATACTTTTTAGTCTTCTACAGGATTCTTTAGGATCTTTCAAATAAGCAAACGCATTATTGCATAGCTCTTCTGAATAAAAGTCTGTTTTATAAGATGTACAAAGTACTTCCTGAATAAGGGGCACATAAATTGTGTAAGTCACCTGCTGCTGTGGAGATGTTGGGAAAGAGTGGGCAGGAAAAAAAATCCTGTTCATTGATAGCATTATTGTATATAATGCAATTTATTCATACATTTATAAATTGTTTAATAACTTATCATTAAGTAATATCAGAAATCTTGGTCTTTGTTTAATCACTCAGATATAGTGTTAAATCTGCTGATGATTTCTAGTTCAGTTTTACAGTTCTTATGTAGAAGTGATTTTTCACCTTATAACCATGTCACTTAGTGACAGAGTTGCCAATTTCAAATGTAGTCAGTAAGTGAGGACTACCTTTATACAAAATTAGCTAAAAGCTTGCCCACCTCAAACTTTCATTAAGCTCAACTATTACCTGGAAGTGTCTTCTCTATTTCCTAGGAAGAGGAAAGAATTGGTTCAGATGAATTAGGCAGATATTATTTGTTCCACAATCTTCTGGGCTGTAAATGGATCTATTGACATGGATTTCTTAGCAGTTTACTTTGTGGAAAGTAACTTGGAAATAGAAAGCTACAGCAAAAGACAGTGCTGTTCTGAAGACAGAAGCTAGGCATAAAGCATTCATGTTTTGCTTCTAATAACTCATAAGGACACTGAATCCTGATTTTATTTATTTATTTGTTCAATTTCTATGACCACCCATCTCGGTCAATGAATCTGGGCAGCTTATATATATTTCTACAAAAGTTCAAAAGGTGCTTCACTTTATAGAGAACTCTTGAATTGAATTTATTCTGAATTATGTTTTGATCAAGAGTGATAGTACTATGAAATAATTTGATTAATCTTTGCTGAAATAGTGGTGTGTTTTAATGAGTACATGAAAAATTCTAAAAGACAGAACTTATAAAAGTTTATCCCAAATCTGCTGTAATAAAATATTGCTACTTAGCTGAAATTAACTCATTAATTTCCCAATCTAATCTACAGGTTTAGATCACTTGGTGATCATCATCCAAGTCCTAACCAGGTCTTTAAAGACATAAGCAAGTTGGCATTTATTGAACAAAACGTTTTCTGAGACTGAGAATTCTTGATCAAATTAATTAATTGTATGCATGAATTAACCAATGACAACTATTAACAAGGGCAAAGAAGCCATCCTCCATGCCAATTTTTTAATGACTTCAAAAATCACAAATTGTTACAAAGAAGAATGTAAGGATGTTTTGTTTCTCGATTGATTCTAATACAGGCTGTAGATTTAAATTTTTCTTATAAAATAGTAATAGCACTTAGACGTATATATCGCTTCACAGTGCTTTACAGCCCTCTCCGACCGGTTCACAGAGTCGGCATATTGCCCCCAACAATCTGGGTCTTCATTTTACCGGCCTCGGAAGGATGGAAGGCTGAGTCAACCTTCAGCCAGTCAGGATCGAAGGAATCAAACTCCTGGCAATGTGAGCAGAGCTTGGCCACAACACTGCATTTTCACCACTGCGCCGCCATGGCTCATCAATGAAAATTCCTAATCTAGAACTTTTGCTGTGCTGTAATAATACACTTGTGAAAACTTGCTCTCAGTTATTC